GTAAGTTTATAGCAAAAATAATTAATCAGATTGACTTTCATCCAATCAATGGTGTTGTAACAAAGCGCATTTGACGCAAATTTTAAAGATTGTTGCCACATCCAATCACCAGTGTTAATTCTCATAGATTTTTTCTGTGCTGTGACAGGCTTCATAATTATTTACTCGAGAAACATTGATATATCTTTACAAAGAGGAAGGATTTGGATACCGAGCACAGGCATTTCAATCGATGAATTCGACTTTAAGCAGAAGAGTATATAATTTTCATATATACTTAACATTCACAATCAAATTCATTGATTTAAGTGCCTGTGATTCTGAGTACCGTGATCAAAATAAGACCACACAGATTGCTATTTAATTACATTTATTTTTTAACAAAAAGGAACACATCACAGAATCCAAACAAAATACTACACAGAACTATACTAAATGCCTTATTCTAGCTGTATTGTACATGTAATTATTCACGGACTAAAACTTCAAACATCGGTTACACCAGCTAAAGGCATACTCGGTCGTCACTGTTATTTATGAACGAGGTACTTTCATAAGGCCAAACACAAACCCATTTACTAATATTCACAAACATGTAAATGGAAGCAAATTTATACAAGCAGCCAGTCGGCTGAGATAGCTCCGCTGTTAGCAATGCACATTTCAATTAAAGAACAGAAGATATCATTAGAAAATGAACAATATGCATAGTATCACTGCAATGGGACTTGCTTTTTTCAACAAGAATTCAAAAATATCATTTTTCACCATAAATGATTGTGCTTTTCAACAAGAAGAAAATATCACTTTTTAACAAAAATGACAAAAATATTCATCAAAATTAGAGAATTAAAGATATCATTACAAAATGAACAAATCTGAGAGAGATCCACATGTAGTACCTATATATGTAATATCAAAGCAATTGAACATGTTGCTTTTAACAAGAAGTCGAAAATATCACTTTTTACCAAAAATGACAAAAATATTCAACAAAATTAGAGAATTGAAGATATCAACATGAAATGAACAAACCTAAGAGAGGTCTACCCAAGGTACATATACACCAAGTATCAAAGCATTCAGGCTTGTAGTTGTCAAGAAGAAGTCAAAAAAGTAAAACATTGACACGGACGACGACGACGGACAATCACTCATATGATAAGCTCCACTCGACAAAGTCGACAGCGGAGCTAAA